CTCTATTTCAAAGTAAATGTGTATTTAATAACAATATTTTGCTCCAAAGGGGACAAAAATACCCTTTTATTAAATGTTTGATGGAATTTTAGATTAAAAGAATTAGTTAAAAACTCAGCTGTAGTTTCAAATCAGAACCTGGACTCGTGGTTCTGATCCGTTTAGACCAGATGAGGCTGTTTTTGAAAGATTTGCCTCGTTTTTCTTTAATTAAATGCTTAAAAAAACTCAATGATTTTAAAAAGTGTAAATGTTTTTAATAATTCCTGATTGTTTCAGTTAGAAATCGAGTGTTTCGGTCCAGTGAGACACAAAGAACCCACAACTCTGGGAAACCAGAAGTGGCTGAAGATCGAACAGCCGTTTCATGTTCCTCTTTATATGATGAGTCAGCGAAAACCTCAGCGGCGTTCCRCAGGTAATCTTTAAACCAGTCATTCGTGGTCATGGAGCTGCTCTCAGATCAGTTTTACAGAAAAACTCATTTATTCATCTGTTTGTTTGAGCAGAAAAAGAAAAACTGAATCATCTGAAAACTTCACTGAAGCTGAAAAACACTTAATATTTTTGGTTGTTTGGAAAAAAAATTAATAAAAAGGTAACTCAAATATCTTCCACTCAGTCACTTCCTGTCTGACGCCGGATTTTTAAGAAAATATCTTTTTTTCATCTCTGAACACCAACAGGAAGTTCTGTCCGTTTGGGTCGGCGCTGAGGCACTCGTGATCGTTGTGGGCGGGGCATGGCGGGATGGGGCGGGGCGTCAGTCAGTCGTCTGCRAACGTCAGCCTGCCCGGCCCCTCGTTCTTCATCCAGCGGCGGTACCTCTTCATCTTCGAGTCCGTCGCCATTTTCAGCTTCATCTCCTCTTCCCGCTCTTTTCTGTAAACCTGAAAGATGAAACGAGGACGTTCAGACTCGCCGAAGGAAAACAGCTGAACAGCAGCTAAAGAGACAAAAACTAAAACCTGATTTCACTTTAAAACTTTTTAATCCAAAATCATTTATTTTATTCTGAAAAGCAGAACGTGGAGCTACTTTAAAGGAATTGTTGGCACATTTCGAGGTTATAAAACATTATCAAAAGTGTATGTTAACCGGAGCTAACGGCTAGTTTAACAAACGTCATTTTGGGAGGGCGGAGCTCATGTAAACAAACGTTTGGGAGGGCGGAGCTCATGTAAACAAACGGTTGTGAGGGCGGAGCTAATGTAAAAGGGTTGCGAGGGCGGAGCTAATGTAAACAAACGGTTGCGAGGGTGGAGCTAATGTAAACAAACGGTTGCGAGGGCGGAGCTAATGTAAACAAAAGGTTGCGAGGGCGGAGCTCATGTAAACAAAAGGTTGCGAGGGCGGAGCTCATGTAAACAAACGGTTGCGAGGGCGGAGCTAATGTAAACAAACGGTTGCGAGGGCGGAGCTAATGTAAACAAAAGGTTGCGAGGGCGGAGCTAATGTAAACAAAAGGTTGCGAGGGTGGAGCTAATGTAAACAAACGGTTGCGAGGGTGGAGCTAATGTAAACAAACGGTTGCGAGGGCGGAGCTCATGTAAACAAACGGTTGCGAGGGCGGAGCTCATGTAAACAAAAGGTTGCGAGGGCGGAGCTCATGTAAACAAAAGGTTGCGAGGGCGGAGCTCATGTAAACAAACGGTTGCGAGGGCGGAGCTCATGTAAACAAACGGTTGCGAGGGCGGAGCTAATGTAAACAAAAGGTTGCGAGGGCGGAGCTAATGTAAACAAAAGGTTGCGAGGGCGGAGCTAAAGTAAACAAAAGGTTGCGAGGGCGGAGCTAAAGTAAACAAAAGGTTGCGAGGGCAGAGCTAATGTAAATAAAAGGTTGCGAGGGCGGAGCTAATGTAAATAAAAGGTTGCGAGGGCGGAGCTAAAGTAAACAAAAGGTTGCGAGGGCGGAGCTAAAGTAAACAAAAGGTTGCGAGGGCGGAGCCAATGTAAACAAAAGGTAGCGAGGGCGGAGCCAATTTAAACAAAAGGTTGCGAGGGCGGAGCCAATTTAAACAAAAGGTTGCGAGGGCGGAGCTAATGTAAGCAAAAGGTTGCGAGGGCGGAGCTAAAGTAAACAAAATGTTGCAAGGGCGGAGCCAATCTAAACAAAAGGTTGAGAGGGCGGAGCTAATGTAAACAAAAAGGTGAGGGCGGAGCTAACAGCAGCTTACTTGCATAAACAGCTCTTCTGAAGGAGCTCAGAACAGGCAGAACTGACCAGGTGAAATAATTTAATGTTTTATTAACATGTTTTATTGCACAGATGAACCCTAACTTGTTTTAGGACCACCATAACAGGTCCTCTTTAAAACAACAACCTTCAGTTTTTTAA